CCTGGACACCAAAGAAGCATCCCTTGCCTTCTGTGTCTGTTCCTTCCTTTTTAACTTCTTTTGTAGATCAGCTTGAGTAGGTTCTCTGTCACTGTCACAATCTGTGCTCCTTGAAGCAAAGCATTGGCTCAGAAAGTCACGGCTGGAGCTCATGTGGCACCAATGCCGCTGCCGGTGATATGCGAAAATGCAATGCCCCAATCTCTTTCTCTCTTTGGGTCTTTGTCTTTGGGTTCCTACTTCCTCATCGAACACATTGAAGAGTTTCATACCAATATCATATCTGTTTGCTTTGACTCACGCATGTTCTGCTCGGAGGATTTTTCTAAAATCTGCAATCCCAAAATTGTAAGTTGCCACGTTTGCAGGCCACGAACCACTATATACCTCCGGCCACTACACCCTCGGAGCCAAATCAAAAACGAGTGGCCAGGTCACAGGTCACAAATCCACCAGAGGAGACTTGAAGGTTTGCGCCAAAGGATGGAGAAGGATCAGGATGCAGCAAATTTATGATGGACTACAGTCTGTACGTATTTGGCCTGCTTACTGTTGATGACCGTTCAAGATCTATTGTTCCAAAAGCATGTGACTCTCTCAGTCACAGTTTTTTTGGAGGGGCTACAGTCGACCACCTCATCCCGAGTTCCGAGCCTGGTAGCGACGAAAGAAATCGCTGGTACCTCCCCGTGGAAAAGGTCGAAATATCCCCTCGACCTGTGGCAGGCAAGCATCACTGCATCACTGTACAGTGCAGTTTATCCGGTAGTTTTCCTGGTGCTGGTACTGGATAGTACTTTGCAAAAAGAGAAGTTCAGCTCAACAGGTCACGTCAACAGCCAACAGCAGTTTGTTTGTTTGCATGTCCAGTGATAGCACTATGAAATCGTTCAAGTGCTATTTGATTTGCTTTCTTGCTACAAAAATGGTTGACTGCAATCAAACCTGTCACACCTTAGAACACAAACGCTGAATGCCTTTGGACAATGACAGGGCTTGACTCATGACTCATGAGGTCACTTTAACCGGTTTTTTAAATACTGTCCAAAGTTCAAGCCCTGCCGCTTATAGTACAAAGCAAATGCAAAACGATTCTGAGGCCTGAAAACGATCTCCAAAATCATGGTCTACCTAGATTGCTTGGCTTTGCTTATCAGTGAAATTGCACATGCGCCATATGCGATCATATTGTCGGACACAAAAAATACACATAACATAACATAACATTCATAGATTTACAGCGTGCACAAACAGGAAAGAAACAACCCTGATTCTGGGTAGGCTGCACCCACGCCGCCCACGCCTGTTCCATCAGCACGCATCCTGGTCTCTTCTTGCCTTGGATAGGAGTTTGCTTGATTGGAATCGGCATCCCTCCGAACCACTGATACATGTGATTCGTTTCTCCTGTATTGATTGAATGTAAGAACGTAAGTCAAGTATTTACTATGTATGCATGCTGTATGCTCCCGTCACCCAAACCTTGATGATATAGACATCGACTCTGGGTGGGGGTGAGTGGGAGGCGTGGAAACACACTCACCTATGTCGCGAGCAAGTTAGCCTGGTCTGGTAGGCTGGTAGGCCCGCAAACTACAAAACGTCTCAACCGCCCATCGCAACTGAGCCAAGTTTCGGACATGCCTGCAACCTGCCAGGAAAGGTTCCGCGTCTGGTTCCAGGAACGGGTTCCAACCAGCAGCCCTTCGTTTGTTGTTGAGGACGCTGTAGGGGCAACATGGTGCTCCGAAAGCAAAAATGTCCTGTCAGAGTCAAGTCCCGTCAAAGGCAAACATTGACAGTAGTAATCGGAAACACGTATCACTTATCACATATTCTTGGTGAGTTATATATCTTGCAGCTGCAACAACTCCTACCACGTTACACAACTATTATGGCGGGTCCATCGATGAAGAGTAGTGGCCATAATAAAGGTCTTGCGTTCTGAGCAAAATTATGAACTGAAAAAATACATTGCCAGTCTGCAGCCCTTAGAAAGCTTGATCACCTAGTCTGTCAGCAAGATACAGAAAAAGAAATCACGCTAGACGCTAGACCTTCTCCACTTTCTCTACAAGATTCAATGAGCCAGTCCTCTGAACCAAGCCCAAGGTGACACTGCTTCTGATGCTGATGACAGTATCCACCAGTGACACCACAGGCGATGTCGTCCATCAGGTGCGTGACTTAGTCCGCGCAAGGAGCGGATGCAGGATGCACAAAAAGACACAGAGTTGAGATGAGGCGACATGTGTCACATGGGTTCATGGTCGATGGCCAAATGTGGCACAGACATGATGACAGACCGGCTGACTATTGATTGATGACGATTGCGCCGCATCCAATGCACTAACTAACACTCTGTGTAGTGACTTGGCATCAAAGCTTCAAACTCTCAACTCAACATTCTGCACACGGCAGGTTGCATCATCCTCTAGAAACTTCCCTGTACGAAACAGAGCTACTTACCTAACTGCATATGAACTGAATGCCACAAGGCTGCCGTCGCCATGGTTCTGTGTGATGAATCGCTTTTTCATCTCATCCTTCTCAAGGGCTGTGGAACTCACGTTAATGCGCACGTTGAACTTGGTCTTCAAGTGCTCGCAAATCTGCTTCCTCGCATCAACTATCCAGGAGGCGTGTCACGCTCACTCAGTCACGAGTCATTAGCAACACTTGGCATCACTTGTTCTGGTGGCCACTCTTTCAGTTTCGTGTCACCACCATTCACTATCTATATAGTCATGACGAGTGTACAATTACAACGCAACATTCAAAACACAAAATATATCATAGACCGACCAGTACAGTCAGCACTGAGCACAGTAGTTATGTAATAAATAATTCTATATTATACACAATATATAAATAGCCTCTCCCAGAGAAGCCCGTCACACTTCTGGAGTGAAAATGCATTCAGGGTCCCAGGGTAGCTCAAAAAAGCATTGCTTTAACGAGTGCTGTGAAGACGCATCAAATAGCATCCAGTAGCTCCACCAGCACACCCTTCCACCAAATTGATGGTGACAGGCGCATTGCGTTTGACTCGGGACCTGAGCTCGTTGTAATCAAAACGGCAAACCATCCAGCTTACATGGCAAAGCTGTGAACCTGAGACCTGAGAGACTGAGACTTGAATTGCTTGACTGGCTAAGCAAATCCAAACTCCTGCTGAGAAACATATCTTCAACTGCAAGCATCTCGCAGAACTTAGGGACCCAATCCAAGAAGGATGGACGTTCATGAGTGGCGCGTGGTGGGATGGCATACGCATCTGCATCCCTTAGATGACTTGCGACTTCAACGTGTGAAAGCCGAAACCCACCAAAGAAATCCTGGAGGAAGCTTCAACACTGAAGCAGCTGATCAACTCTAGACATTCTCCCATTTGTATTTTGTATTTGGTGATTGGTTCACTGGCCTTTAGGATTCCTTACTTTCCATCAAATCATCCAACATCAAATCTCAGCAAAACGTGAATATAGAAATATTATATAGAGTCGAGTCGTATATAACGGGGGGAATGAAATGATATGATATGATATTATACTGTACTGTATTTTATTTAAACTATAATGTTCAAAAGGTTTGCTAGGCATCACCTAAGCTTCGGCCCGTCTTGCGTACCAACTCCAAACAGCTGGCTCATCAAGGAGTCATCGGAAAGACACTCATCATCTTCATGGCCGAAACTGAATCGCCGCATGAGGGCGTCTACTTGTGTTTCAAAAAAGAAACTAGCCCTTCTTCTATGGCTTGGCACCCCCTGCTAACACTGCCCAGCCCCATGGAGCCAAAATAGCCATGGTGCAGTAACAGCGCATTGATGATGGCGCCCAAATAGTGGTCGTTGAGGTGGAGGTGGCGGAGGGGGCAAGCTTGCAGTCTTCCTTTTTCTGAGAAGTTCTGGTGGTGGTGCTGGTGGTGGTGGTGGCGGTGGCATCATTCTGTTCATGTCCTGTTCACGTTTTTGCTGCCGCCGTCGTGGGAGTGGTGGCTTTGGTAGAGGTGGTGGCGGTGGTGGTGGAGGATGTGTTTGTTCAGGTGCTGCTGTCTTTTCTTGTTTGCGCACTTTGACCTTGACCCAAACCTTGATTCGCTTCTTGACCTTCTTGATGCTGCTTTTCGCCATGGCTAGTTTCAAATGCACACAAAGTGAAGCTAAACTTAGATTGAAGAGTTTGGGTTGTAAGTTGTAAGTGTTTTTTAGCAGTAGTTGTTGCCAGTTGCTGTACAGTGTGCAGTTGCACTGTTCTGCGCTTTGCTATAGCTTAACTTGTTCGTTCTTGTTGGTATTTCATTGTTTGTCCTGAAAATTGTGGCTGTCCATGACAAGTGGGCTGGTGGCAACACAGATGTTCTTTTCAACTTGCACTACACCGCAAATGCATTTCCTTAGTGAATTTTGGTCCACATCATGACTTCTCCTTCACACACCTGTAAAACAGGAGCTAAAAGAGGATGCAAGAGGGTAAGTTATAAATAGTCTCCAGGGTAAGTTATAAATAGTTTCCCATAGATTGCAAATAGTTCCTGCATACCCCCCCCTCAAAACACAAATGATCAAATAAAGAGGCCACCGCATGTTCTAATATATATATATATATACTTGCTTGATTACTTGCTTACTTACTTCTGAAGTTTCTTCAAGTGAAGTTGGATCAATTGCCGGCGCTGGAAACATCGAAGTTAGGTGTCGTTTGGAATCGCCCAGATCGCCATACAACGAAAAAAACACCAGCGGTGGTAAAACAAGACGTGAAAGAATACCAGAAGACCATCTAAATAGACATATAATAAATGACGTATTATATATATACTGATATAGAAGACCATGTCTCTGGATTGACAGATCAAAAGACCGAAGATTCCAAATTGTTTGTTTGTACATGCCTGTGACCCTCGCTGGCTCGCCTTTGGGGTCGCCGTCCACCTCGCCGGTCCTCCACCTCCCCGGCACCCCGGTCCTCGTCATCCACGCCTTAGCACCTCATCAGGTCACTTCGGATGGCGACTGGGAGCTGGAAGATGTGGTTGTGCCTTGGTTTTGGGGGTTCGACTGGTTGGCCCCAAACACAGTCACTCAGAAATATGTTCTATTTAAATTGGCTGAAACGGATGAGTCAGTGGAGTGACTGGTTGGCTTGGAAGATGCTTCGCCAATAAAAAACAGGGTCCCCCCCCACCCCATGGCAACCATGCAGCTGCCAGATTCCAGGACTTGCAGGAAACCCTCCCAGGGAACCCCAAAAGGGACCCCAGGGGGACAGCCGCCGGGGATGGGTCCCAAGACGGTCTCCACATTTTCTCATGTTTCTTGATTGGTCCTTGTCTGGCAGTAGAACAACTATAGAACTGCTATAGAACAGCCAAAGAACTGCTATAGAACTGCTATAGAACAGCTATAGAACAGCTATAAACTGCTATAGAACTGCTTAGAACAGCTATAGAACAGCTATAGAACAGCTATAGAACAGCTATAGAACTGCTATAGAACGGCTATAGAACAGCTATAGAACAGCTATAGAACAGCTATAGAACAGCCATAGAACTGCTATAGAACTGCTATAGAACTGCTATAGAACAGCAAAAGAACAGCTATAGAACAGCTATAGAACTGCTATAGAACAGCTAAAGAACTGCTATAGAAAAGCTTTAGAACAGCTATAGAACTGCTATAGAACAGCTATAGAACAGCTATAGAACAGCTATAAACTGCTATAGAACAGCTATAGAACTGCTATAGAACTGCTTTAGAACAGCTATAGAACTGCTATAGAACAGTTATAGAACAGCTATAGAACTGCTAGAACTGCTATAGAACAGCTATAGAACTGCTATAGAACAGCTATAGAACAGCTATAGCACAGCTATAGAACAGCTATAGCATAGCTATAGAACAGCTATAGCACACCTATAGAACAGCTATAGAACAGCTATAGAACTGCTATAGAACCGCGTTTGAACGGCTTTGGAACTGCTATAGAACAGCTGTAGAACAGCTATAGAACTGCTATAGAACAGCTATAGAACTGCTATAG